TACCACTTAAGCCACAGCGCCACTTCTGGCTTTTTTCTTTTTGCTTATGTGGTGCTGAGGAATTGAACCCAGGGCCTCATGCATGCAAGGCAAACGCTCTACCACTGAGGCACCTTCCCAGCCCCTGCCTCTCATTTCTTACACTACCAATCCCCCAAATCTCTGTTCCTCACCTCCCTGGAGAGCTGTCTCTGGGGCAAAGGACACAGGGGAGGGAGCATTAATTATTAACCCTTTGCACCTCAGAGCACCATAAGCTCCTTTCCTCTCCTGGAGTAGAAAGGACTGCATGTGGCTTGGGGCTGGGGAGGGGGCAGTGGTCCCAGTGACAGCCATGGTGGTTCTCCTACCACACCTGTGCCTGCAACGCTGCTTCCGCCTGGTTCCTCTCACTATCTTCTCCTTGTTGCTTCTTTACCTCACTGGGCAGATTATCTGTGAGTGTTCCCTTCCTCTCACCTTCTCGGGGAAGAGCCTAAGAGTCTAGGCCCTCAGAACCCAAACTCCCTTTTTTACCCCTCACCCCTCTTTTTCCGCTTCTCCTTAGGTCTCCTATTAGGCTGCAGGGCCCTGGCACAGTCCAGCATTCCAGATGGACCGCTGCTTTTCCAGGTATACGGGGGGCAAGGATGAATCTGGGAACTGCAGGTACGACTCTGAATAGTGGTAAGGAGAGTCAGACTTTCCCCCACCTCTCTCCTCTCCCTTCTGAAGCTGAGAGAAACCCCAGCTAGACATTAGGAGCTTCCCTCCCCCCCCAGAGCCAAGGGGGCTGTTGGTTCTGCCAGCCAGCCTAGCATGCTAGGGGCTCTTCTCTCACAACTCTGCTCTTCTGTCTACGCCCTCAAGGTCCAGCCAGAGCTGGAAGCCCAGGTGGCCCCAAAGGGGGAAGATCCTGCGTGTCTAGGGCCTCAGGGAATGCTAGGTCGCATGGTGAGGCCCTTCCAGGCCAGTCTGAACCTCCAAGAGGACGTGGAGCTGGCTCAGTACCTGGCAGGTTGGAGGGAATTTCTCAGGTGAGTTGTCTCCCTCTTGGGCCCCCCTTGGGATTCCATAGACCTCCTTCAAATCATCGCCCCCCATCCCATCACCAAACACACAGGTTCCTAACTCCTTTGGGTTCCATCTTCGCCTTCGCCTCCAGCGAGGCCTTCAGCAAGGTGACGGTCCTGGAGGCGCAGGTGCACGGCCCGCGCGCCGAGCACTACACGTCGCTGTCGACTATGGCAGCGTGGGAGCGGCGGGCCGGGCTCCTCGAGCCGCCCTTGGCCGGGTCCTCGGGCTCGCGAACGCTGCTCGTGCTGCACCGCGCCCTGCGATGGGCCCAGCTCTGCCTCTCCCGGGTGGCCACGGGCACGCTGGGAGACCCGGACGCCGGCGCGCAGTGCGCCGACGCCTACCGCACAGCCCTGGCCCCGCACCACCCCTGGCTCGTCCGTCACGCCGCCCGCCTGGCCTTCCTCGCCCTCCCGAGTCGCGATCGCTTGCTGGAGATGGCCTGTCCGGGAGCCAGCGAGGCGGACGCGCGGGCGGCGCTGGCCCGGGCGGCTGGCGCCCTGGAGGACGTCTACAACCGCACCCAAAGCCTGCTGGCGGGACACGACCTGCTTCTGCTGGCTTGAGGAAGCCGCGCGCCCGGGGAAGGGGGCTTCCCGGGGGGCAGAATCCCCGCAGCCTGGAGCCGCGCCCCCGGGCCTGCGGGGAGCTGTCCATCTGCCTGAGGCCCCGCCCTCCAGTGACGTCACCGCGGCTAAGACCCGCCCCCAGCCAGCACTGACCCTGGACTGCGGGGAGCCGCCCGTCGCTCTGATGCCCCGCCCTTCAGTGACGTCATCGCCAAAGCCGCACCCCCCCCCTTCCGCGTATCCGCCCTCCCCGGTTGAGCGGAGTGGAATAAAGTCACGGTTTGGCCTCTGCGGATGCAGGGTGTTTTGTGTGATGCCGGCAGGCGCCTGCAGGAAATTAAAAAAAAATGTCATCCCTGTTCCTGGCAGTGGAAAAACTCACGCTTCCTCAGGCCTAGTTGAAACACTCTTGGGCTGCCCAGCCCGATGCTGCGTCTCTAGCCCAGACTCATCTCCTGAACTCCACGGCCAACTCTTCTCATCCACAAACACGCCAAAGGGGGCACACAACGTGGATCCTACCACCTTCCTTCTCAGATCTCAGCCTCCTGAGTACCTAGGATTACAGATGTGAGCTACTGATGCCTGGCTAACATATGCAGTATTCTTTATTGTAATTTCATATGGCTAATTTTTTCACAGAAAATAAATCTTTTCTTTAAAAATACATACTAGCCGGGCACAGGTGGCTCACACCTGTAATCCTAGCTACTCAGGAGGTTGAGATCTGAGGATCGCGGTTCAAAGCCAGACCGGGCAAGGAAAGTCTGTGAGACTCTTATCTCCAATTAACCACCAGAAAACCGGAAGTGGCGCTGTGGCTTAACAGGTAGAGTGCTCGCCTGAGCTGAAGAGCTCAGGGACAGCGCCCAAGCCTAGAGTTCAAGCCCCATGACCGACAAAAAAAAAAAAAGAATACATACTACGTGCTGGGAATGTGCCTTAGTGGTAGCATTCTTGCCTAAAATACATGAAGGCCTGGGTTCCATTCCTCAGTACCCCATAAACAAAAAAGCCAGAAGTGGCACTGTTGCTCAAGTGGTAGAGTGCTATCCTTAAGCAAAAAGAAGCTCGGGAACAATGTCCAGGCACTGAGTTCAAGCCCCAGGACTGGCAAATATATATATATATATACTATGGGGCTAGTGATAGAGTGCTCACCTAGAATGCTTCAACCCTGGGTTAGGTTCCCAGCACTGAATTTTAAAACTCTGAGGGATGAAAAATAAGATAAAATATTCAATGCTAGCTGGGTGAAGGATGGCTCACGCCTGTAGTCGTAGTCCTAGCTATTCAGGAGGCTGAGATCTGAGGATCCTGGTTCAAACCCAGTCGGGGCAGGAAATTCCATGAGACTCTTTTTTTTTGGGGGGGGGGTTCCGGTCGTGGGGCCTGAACTCTGGGCCTGGGCACTGTCCCTCAGCTCTTCAGCTCAAGGCTAGCGCTCTACCACTTGAGCCACAGCGCCACTTCTGGCTTTTTCTTTTTGCTTATGTGGTGCTGAGGAATCGAACCCAGGGCCTCTGGCATGCAAGGCATGTGCTCTACCACTGAGCCACCTTCCCAGCCCCTCCATGAGACTCTTATCTCTAGTTAACCATTGGAAAACCAGAAGTGGTCTTGTAAGAAATGAGAAGCGAGCCAGAGTGACCAATATGAGATCAAGGCTTTATTGGGGGACAGACCTGCCAGGCTGCTCCAAGAAAAATGCTCCAGCAGCCATGGAGAGGTGTAGGCTGAATTTAAACAAAAATTTTGGGGGTAGTCACCCATGGGGGTAGCCCATGGGTCACATGGGCAGTCACATGGGTCACATTACATAGACTATGGGAATTCAGGGATAGGGTCAGTTCCAAGAAGAGGTGTTATGAAGGTTTTACATGGAATACAGAAATTGGGGGGGCGGGGAGAGTCACATTCTGAGAAGGAGTATAACGAGACTGTTGCAACTGGGACGGGAATTTGTATGTCACACCAGTAAAACAATACAGCATCTGGGAAATAGAAAGTTAACAGATTTTTTTAAACAGGTAGAGACACAAGGCAGGGCCTCAAGCAACAAGCTGACTCTGAGACCTTAAAGCCCTGTGACTCAAAATGGTAGAGCCTTGAGCAGAAGAGCTCAGGGACATTGCTCAGGCCCTGAGTTCAAGCCCTATAACCGAGACACACACACACACACACACACACACACACATTCAAGGCTAGCCCGGACTACCTAGGAAGACCCCATCTCAAAACCAAAACATATTTCTTAGAAATAAACAGGTGCAGGCTGGGAATGTGGCTTGGTAGTAGAGTGCTTGCCTAGCATTCATGAAGCCCTACGTTCAGTTCCTCAGTACCATATACACAGAAACCAGGAATGGCGTTGTGGCTCAAGTGGTAGAGTGCTAGCCTTGAACAAAAGAAGCTCAGGGACAGTGCCCAGGCCCTGAGTTCAAGCACCAGGACTAGCAAAAAAGAAAAGGAAGAAAGAAAGGAAGGGAGGAAGGAGGGAAGGAAGGAAAGAAAGAAAACCAGAAGTGGTGCTGTGGTTCACAGCACCCAGGCCCTGAGTTCAAGACCCACCACAGGGCCTGGGAATGTGGCTCATTTGTAGAGTGCTTAAGTAGCATACGTGAAGCCCTGGGTTCAATTCCTCAGTGCCACATAAACAGAAAAATCCAGACGTGGAGCTGTGGCTCAAGTTTTAGAGTGCTAGCCTTGAGCAAAAGAAGCTCAGGGACAGTGCCCAGGTAAGGCCCAGGACTGGTGAACAACAAATAGACCCACCACAGACTTAAAAAAAGAGAGAGAGAGGGCTGGGAAGGTGGCTCAGTGGTAGAGCGCTTGCCTTGCATGCTCGAGGCCCTGGGTTCGATTCCTCAGCACCACATAAGCAAAATGAAAAAAGCCGGAAGTGGAGCTGTGGCTCAAGAGGTAGAGCACTAGCCTTGAGCTGAAGAGCTGAGGGACAGCGCCCAGGCCCAGAGTTCAGGCCCCACGACGGACCCAAAAAAAAAAAAAAAAGAGAGAGAGAGTAAAAAGCAAAGACATGGATTTAATGTCCTGCACTTGTAATCCTAGCCACTCAAGATGCTGAAATTAGGAATATCAAAGTTCAGTGCCAGAGGACATTGTGTGTGTGTGTGTGTGTGTGTGTGTGTGTGTGTCCATTTCACCAAATTTAGACAGAAGGAAGGAAAAAGAGAGGAAGAAAAGAAAATAAAAGAGAAAGGCTGGACATAGTGGGGTAAATCTATCATTCTAGGTATGCAGAAAGCATAAACAGAATCATGCTCCAGGCCTGGTCCCAGCCTAAAGTAAGATACTATTTGAAAAATAATAAAAACAAAAAAAGGCTGGAGTTGTAACTCAAATGGTAGAGCACTTCTCTGGCAAGGCCCTGAGTTCAAAACTCCACAACTCAAACAAAAAAAAAAATCTAAGAACTTGAATACACATTGCATGACTCCAAAGATACACAGATTGCCAATTAGCACGGGAAAATCTGACCCACAGCACTGATTATTAGGTAAATATAAATCAGAGCCACAATATAGCACTCATACCCACTATAATGACAGAGTTAGTGAGGACTTCCCAGAATTGTGCAAATGAAAGCGGTGTAATTGGTAAGGCAAAGTTACTGGTTCTTTGATAAGTGAAAATAGCATAGGGCCCAAGTAATTCCATCTCTTATGCTACCCAAGAAAATGAAAACAAGGTGTGGTCATTCCAACTCTCACTCTCCAGTGTTTACTACACTCCAATCAAATAGATTAATTCAGCCCAAGGCCAAAGGGTTTTTTGTTTTTTTAAGTGAACCCCAGATGTTTTTTAATTGCTCCTTCCCTGCCACACTGCCATCAAGTGTTCCACTGTCGCAAAAGAACCGCGTCTATGCGTCTCTTTTCCCTTCTGCCGTCAACCGCGCTCTAGCTTTGCCCCCCCTCCTTTCCGGAAAGACGCAAAAAGCTACTTAACGAGAGTGACAGCGCGCTTTACGACAGTTGCTTTGTGGTAGCGCTGGAGGAGGAAGATGGCGGCTACCTTAGTAACTGCAGCGGGAATGGGACCTGCCCCGGCATGGGGGCCCGAGGCCATTGCTCCTGATTGGGAAAACCGGGAAGTGACCACAGGGGTGAGAAAAGAAAGAATCAGGGTTCAGGAGATGTGAGCCCAGCCGAGCTCGGGGGAAGGGGGAAGCCTGGGTGGGGTTGCGCGGGCCGGGTGGGGGCGGGGAGGCGGACCCTGCGGCGCGGGAGGCTGCGGGAGACGACTTCTCGGGATGCTGGAGTGGGCCAGTACTTCATTTCGTAGAACTTCATTCTGCCTGCATCCTGAAAGCGACTGAGTGTGAGAGTTGACATTCTGATCTTCTGCAGGTGTTGACCCCCTTGAGTGTGGCACAGATTTGGTAGTCTGGAAACTGGGTGAGGGACGGTTGAAGTTGGGGTGTGAAAAAGTCTAGACTCACCCTTCCCTTCCTTTTTCCTAGACCACGATCATGGCTGTGCAGTTTGACGGGGGCGTGGTTCTGGGGGCTGACTCCCGAACAACCACTGGGTAAGCCGTGCTCAGGACAGATTGGTGAACACCCATCTTTCTTAACCTGCCCTGTCTGCCAGCTCTTTTTTTTTTTTCCTGCCGTACTAGAGATCAAACTCAGGGCTTTGCACATGCTAGGCAAGTGTTCTGTCACCGAGTCATCTCTTCAACCCTTCCAGCCCATCCTTGCCCTTCACAGACTGTGGAAAAAAAAAAGGTTTCAAATCCCCCTGAAGATAAGGATTTATCCCTGAAACGACTACTTCCAGTTTCCCTCATCCTTTGGTGAAATATTTGTAAAAATCTGATCTCCATCCAGTTTTGGGTGAGAATCACTAGATAATAACTTTTTTTTTTTTTTGGAAGGAGGATGATTTGGGGTTTTAACTCAGAACCTTGACTTTGCTAGACAAAAGTCATTGCCACTTAAGCTAGTCTCTGATAATGCTCTTAGATAATTTCTCCCCCCAAGTACTGGCCAGCACTGTCCTTTAGCTTTTTCACTCAAGACTGATGCTCTACCACATCTAGCTTCTTTTTTTTTGGGGGGGGGGGTCCGGTCATGGGGCCTGGGCGCTGTCCCTCTCAGCTCTTCAGCTCAAGGCTAACGTTCTACCACTTGAGCCACAGCGCCACTTCCGGCTTTTTTCTATTTGCTTATGTGGTGCTGAGGAATTGAACCCAGGGCCTCAGGCATGCAAGGCAAGTACTCTACCACTGAGCCACCTTCCCAGCCCCCACATCTAGCTTTTTGACAGTTAGAAATAAGAATCTTACAGACTTTCCTGCCCCAGGCTGGTTTTGAAAC